GAATGCTGTCTCTGTACCCGCCTGTCCTCTCTGCACGCTCATCAGCTGCCCTATTGATTTTATGCAGTGAAGGAAAAAAGAAACCAGGGCAAGAAAGGAACTGCTTTCTGCCGAAGCAGCCCCTGGGGAATCCCAGCTGGGGCTGGTCAGCTGGAAATGGGGGCCGAAAGGCTGCCGTGGGATGTACAGCATGGAGGAGGCAGCCTGGGGGGGCTGGGGATGCACGGGTACCTCAAGGAGCACCTTGGGAGCCCCCCTGCTCCCGCAGCAGCCTGGTGCTTGTATGAATCATGGCACCGGTACTGGACTTTCCAAGGTGTTTGAAGCTAAAAGCTTAGCGTGCCAGAGGCTGCAGGTATTTACTGGGTGCCTGAATCCGTGCTGTTCGCCAGCAGTTTACCCTAGCCCCTTTAGGAAGAATGAAGCCAAAAGTGCCAAACCCAGATTTTGCTCTCGGCAGAAGGGTGGGAAATCTCCCAGTGCTTCAGGATCCAAGGAGGGGTGGTTTAGGAGTGAGATCTGCAGGTTGGGACACAGGGAAGCTAGGGTGTATTCCCCATCTGCTGGAGAAAGACGTCGGTATCCTAGGACAAATCTTTTAATCTCTTTATGCCTTAGTTTCCTGTTAGCAAATGATACTCCTTATCTTTCACTTAGTAGAGGAAAGAGTTTGTCTTTTAGTATGTATCTAATTACAGTTCTTTGTCTGGTGGCTGGGGCCCCTCTACCTTGATGAAATAAATAATTGAATTTAGATTAAATGGTCTAATATAATCCTGCACAGTGGTTACTAAAACACAAATGAAAGTTCATTCTGAGCCAGTCTATCCATTTCCTTATAAGGCTAAGACATGAAGTAATTAGATGTAGACATAGGTTGTTATTGTAGCACAATTACAAAGATCAGTGGTTATTGGTAGGAATGGCTTTTATAATCTAGTTTAATGGTCATTTACCTTTCAATGACCTTGATGTCAGGCAAAATTGGCAGCTCTTTTGCAAGGAATGTGCTTCCTCAATGGGGGCTTTGCAAGCTGCTGCATTTTTGGCTCTAGCTTCACATGAACTAGGGTAGACACTGCTGCAATGCAAGAGACTTTCTGTCTGCAAAGAAAGGCCATAGACTGCTGCCAAAAGAAGCCCTTTTCAGTGCTGTCCTACTGCCACTGAATTGCCGTTGACACAGATCAGTCGTGTTTCAAGCAATCCTTTGCTTACTGCTGCGACCAAATTTGCAACTTTCAGAGAGAGTCTGCTGTGCTTAGAGGGCTGTCCAGCAGTTTTCTGTAAAAAAAGGTTACGTCGTCTTGGAGTAAAAGAAGAGAGAACATCTCTCATCATCCAGCTAAGTGCAGAGGAGCTGGGAGCTCTGGTTGTAACTCCTACTCTGTAAATCCTTATTACATCAGTAAAGATGTGATACTGCTATATGCTTTGCAGTGATGACTGTCCACTCGGTGCAGATGCAAATCTGTCAAGTTTTTCATTGGCTGTGGTGCTCTTACACCTCTCTCCATGGCGTGTTGCAAAATCCTCACGGGTTTTATCCGGTGACTGATGCCCATGGCCATGGAGGAGAACAGCATGATCTGAGCTGTGCTGCGACATCTAATGGTGCCCCGTATCTGTGGCCATGCTTTGTGAGGAGATGGAGTAGGTCATATCCTGGGGCTTGAGAGGACTGGATTCAATAGAGGGATTCACAGTGACCTTGGCTAAGTCTCATAATTATTCTGGGTCAGTCTTAACCTTAGAGGTAATCTTCTGTTTTCCATGAAGTAGGCTGAATTATTGCGAGTGAGTGCTATGGAGACAGAAAGATTACTTGAGGCACATTGTACTTGGAGGTTCTCAAAGAAGTGCTATGAGAGTTGAGAAGAGCCATGTAGTTGTGGAAGAAGGCTTCTCAAAAGCATCTCTGAGAATTGCACTGCCTTGTGACTTGAGCTTCTGCCTACTTCTAATCTTTCATCCTGATGCTCACAGCCATTTGATTTTGCAAACATGTTCCTTGCAACTCTAACTGTTGCCCTGCAGAGCAAACCTAACTACAAGAATCATCTATTTATGTGCTCTTATTTCTAAACTGCTAAGATAAGGAGACGCAAAACTTGCAGCTTGGAGGGAGAGTCATTTGTTTCAGGCTGCTTTGGATAACCACCACCCTGGTTTTGCCATGAGCGTGTTCAACACATCATCACCACAGCATGATAGATCTTTAGCTGAGATCAAGCAGTGGCTTCCAGCATTCGAAATCCTGAGATGGTTTGACATACATGGGCTCTCAATTGTTTTTAGTCCTAAAACGTGCTGGGACCTGCTGCGATACCTGCTTGCACAGAGTATCTTGTAGACTGTCATCATATTAATTCTTCTTAGTTCTCACATTCATCACTCTGATAAGTATTAGCTGGTTCTCCTTCTGATATGGGAGAATGAATGGTCACATTCATTTCAATGGCAGTTTATTTTTGCAGGTATCAGGTTTGGATTGGGAATGTCCAGCTGAGATCAAAGAGGTGCTTGCATAGAAGCAGATGGTTTATATGCTGCTTCTTGCTGAAGAAGAGCAAAATTAATCTCTCTTGAGTCCCCATAGTCTGAATCCATTGAAGTCTGAGAGAGTCTTTCCGCTGACCTCTGTGGCCTCAGGATCACGTCCTAAATGAATTGCTTTGAGTCACTAGAAGCCTGAACTCAGCTTTGGTGGGCTGGAAAATGTAACCTACTGTATGGGCTGTGCTATTCATAAGCACCCAGCCCTGTGTGTGTGCTAGCTGTGGTTGCCTGGGAAAAGAATAAAGTCATTTTCTTCAGTCATGGGGGTGGAGGAGGGAATGGGAATTATACCCCCTTCCCTGCAGACCGGGTATCCTCACATCCTTGCAGGCAGCTCTTGGGAGCTGACCTGCTGCTGAAGCTTCAAATTAAGGTTAGGTGGGTTTTGTGCTCTTTCTTCTGATATCATCCCTCACACATAAATGTCCTCTCTACCAGGCCTGACCAGCAGGAACTGACATCAGTTTAAATTTTCTGAAGTGAGCCACTGAAGCAGATGAATGAGTACAGCAAGGCTGTGATTTACCCCAGTGGAATTTCCTTAAACTTAGAAGAAGCAGGTTCCTTGAAACTTGAGAGAAGCTGGTTATGAGTGTGTTTGGCACCAGATGCTCACAGTTCATTGCTTAGTGATATCACTGGCCTTTAATATTGTTGTCACAAATACTACCTGTTTCCTTGCAGTTTATGAAAAAAGTTGTTGTTTCTTGAAGTGATTCTTGCTTTCTCTGGGTTGCAGTGGGTTATAGCTGGGCAAAACAGCAGCTAGCAAAAACATTCAAGTTAATGCAGCATGCTACAGGCGTTTTCCACTCAGACCCTAAATCAGACCCAGAAGACCCAGAAGAGAATTAATTGAGTATAGAGGGTATAAAACAAAGTGTGAAGAACTACCAGTTGGTAGGTTCCTCTGGAGCCATTTTTGATTGATCTGGAGTCATTAGAGTGTTTTATAGTCAAGATAGTGAAGATTAATACAGTTTGAGAGCAGTTACATGTTTTTCAATTTATGGCTAGCAACGTAAACCTTTACAGTGTAATTTATGCTTTACTTATCAATCTTCTAATATGTTTTCACTTGGGAAAGGGTTGCCTGGTGGCTAAAGATGGGGGAGTAAGAAGGTGATGGCTCTTTCCTGCTCTTACACAAATGTTCTTTGCAGCCTTGGAGGTGGTAGCACTTAAGCTAGAAACACTTCAGATGCTTCGCACTATGAAACCAAAATATTAACACTTTTCTAGTTCATTGGTGTGAACAGTGACTCACAGCATGGAAATGTTGTAAGTAAGGGGAATGGAGCATTGACCCAGTTAAATTAGCCGTATGTCACGTTCCTTGGTGGTGTACTGAGGAGTCACAGCCTGGTCTGCAACCTGGCAGTGGCAAACCCAGAGCTTCACTGCCCATCTGCCCCACAGCTCCCTAGCATCGGGAGCGATGGACTTGGGGTAACAGGGGAGCCTCTAAAGGGGAGGAACAGCTTTGGCTGGCTTTTCTGTGCTTTTCCTATATGCCATCGTTCTTGCGCGGCGCTTCCTCTCTCCACATAATACTCTGTTATTTCCTCCCTGGAACAGGCTCCTGCCACTGCTGCTAATTAGCCCACGATAAACTTCGGGGTGAACAAAAGCAAGCAATTAAATGCCTGTTGCTTCAGCATGAGTCCTGTCAGAGAAGTGATTTATCTGTGGCAGAGCTGAGTAGCACCTCCTCAGAAGGAAAACAAACCTATTAGCCTGGCTTCATTGCCAGAGCTGGGGAGTGGTGTGTCCCAGTTGCTTGTTGTGGGTATACAGGGATGTGTTTTCCTGAGGCTGTCTGAGATGCTGCTCAGTCTTGGGTCTTCAGTTCCACGTGGTACAGTGATCTCTGTGGTTACTACCTAAGCAAGATGGCTTGAGAAGTTACTGAATTGTGATTTATGTATGTGGAGTTTTGGGGTAGTTGGTTTTTTTTCTCTTTTTGGGAGAGACACATAAACATTTTCAAATCATTACAGACATTAATAAGGAGGCTTGGAAAGAAGAAACAAAAAGCAGGGTCTTTGGTAGATCTCAGTCCAAAGGAGGTTTGAGTGATGTTTGTCAGGACTGAAGATGCAAGTATCAAGATCTTTCTAGCTACTTTTGTACAATCTCAGCCCTAATGCTCAGAATTCCTCCAGGCTTTCCCACCTTGAGCAAAACGTCCTATCGGAAGAAGAAAAGATATTTACATGGGATTTTAGTGATGTATGAACAGACTAAGGGAAGTCGGAGGCTTTTTGGTTTTGGGACCTGCTTTCTTTTCAAAACTAGAGGGAGGGTTTAAGCTGGAAAATGAAATATGAATTATTCCTGGGCAGAAAAATGTGATCTTGGAAAATATAGAATTAATGTATGCCCTCGTTTGACATGCCACCCAACTGCTTTGCCAACAGTTGTCTCTATTGCTGTTACAGCTCTCGAGCAGCTGCTCACAGAACTTGAAGATTTTCTGAGGGTACTGGACAAGGAGAACTTGAGCAGCACTGCTGTTGTGAAGAAGAGCTTCCTCTCTGACCTTCTGCGAGTCTACACCAAGTCCAGTGGTACGGACAAGGAGAACCCGGGATGGGGCAGTGGGCTCTCATGGGAATTGCTACAGTGTCTTGAAGCAACATTTCCTTGGAGGCTGGTGGGAAGGGGAGACACAAAAACTAGAAGGAGAAAATGAAACATTATTTTGCAGTGACCTCTAATTGTTTATGTAAAATTACTATAGTTATGTGTCCAGCTTTGCAAGCAAAGGATTCCCAAGATTCCTGAACCTTTCTGTTTTCCTTATTAAACCTTAAGTTTATTTAATCCACTTTGTAAGATACACAGGATGTACTGTTTGGCCAAGTTAATGTTTAAGTAGAAATTTTAACTTATGGAATTTCCTGACTATAAAACATATAATTTTTCTGCTTTTTATTATTACTTGGGTTTTTTTCTGCACATTGCCTCAACCAACACACTCTCCCCAAATGTACTTAGCAGAGACACTTTTTACATCTGTCTTTGTGGAAAAACTTAGCAACGTGAAAGCAGCGGTTAGGTAAAGAGTTCACTTTTCCCTTTGGTTGCAGGTGGCGATGAGGAGTATATTTATATGAACAAAGTGACCATCCATAAACAGCAGGGTGACCAGGAGAAACAAGACAAAGGTAGGGAGCTGAAGATCAATGGGTTGCATCATGTCTAATGGGGTGATGAAGGCACACAAAGTTTGAGCCTTGCTTTACCAGTGGAGGCCCCTCTGGCAGCTCTGAGGGCCGAAGCACTTGGTGGTGTGGAGGGAGTGCCATTTTCATAACATTCCCTTAGAAACAGTGGTCCTTGCCAACACCGTGAGGTTATTCCTGGAAGTAGCACTTTGGAGGTCGTTATTTTGGGATAAAAATGTTGCCTTCTAAGGCTTGAAGCTCCAGTGCCTGAAATATTTAAGGAAGCCCTCATGTTTCCTTTGGCCACAAAACAAGTCGCTTCACCTCTTTGAGACCTTGAAAGTATGTGTCGTCTTTAGTGTCTTGCTCTGCACCAGCCCAGAGGGTCTGCGTTGTCACAACTTTGAGAGGCAAGTTCCCAGGCATAGTCTGCACCCTCTCCATCTGTGCAGGCAGAGCACCTTCATCTCTTGGGGAATGCGAGAATTCTGCGGTGTACAAGCCAAGAAATTAAATCTAGATAAAATACTCATTTCCAATTTAGATTTCCCAGGTTTTGAATTTGCAACATGGCAAAGAAATAATGGTCTAAAAATGTTCTTTGAAGTTCATCACCAAAGCTGCTTGTGATAATTGAATAGGGTGAGATTATTAGTGACACACATCTTCTTAACTCACATCTAGCTGCAGGCTGACCCTACCCCCGAGTTTCCAATCCAAAGAGATGAGACAAGGATGCATCAGTGCAGCTTGCTGTTGATGTGCTGGTCCTGTAATAGTTGGATAACTCCACTTCCAGAGTTTTAGTTTTATTGTTTTGTGGTGGGGTTGTTTGTTTTGGTTTGGTTTTTAAACTACCTGCATCTGAATTTAGGTTAACTTCAAATACCCCTGAATACAGGATGTCCTCCCAGATTACAGGTGCAGCTGCAATGTGATCTCCAGACGGGCCCTCTGGGTGATGCTGTAATGCTCTATAACAGCCTCCAGGTAGTTTCCAGCAGCTGAGCAGCAACAGAAACATCTCTTTATATAAGGTCTCATTTGGGTGGATAAAACAAGGCTTGCACTGATCTGCCATGCTGAAACATGGGGGCAAATTTCAGACAATTTATTTTTAGAGTTGGTTCTTCTCTTTCAGACTTTTCCCTATGAAGTCCATGAGCCTACCCACTCAGTCACTCCCTGTGGGACCTGGCACTTCTCTTTTCCTCTGTTTTCAACAACCTCCCTATTCCAAGTAAAACTTCAGAGTTGTTTGGAAATGCTGAAGTCAGTGAGACACGTGCATGGGATCTCAGCCATAGCTGCAGCTGGGTGTACAGCCCTGATCCTGCCTTCATAGCTGGATGGAGAGATCTGTGCCTGTCTTGTCAGTGGTGGGACCCACAGGTGCAGGTTTGGTGGATGGGGGGGGCCCTGGTACCCACTGGTGCTAGGGGGTGTGATATGGATCTCCCAGTGATTATGCAGCTCCCTTTACACCTTTTTATCTACTGCCATTGTGTGCACTTTGTTTCGCCAAAAGCCTTTGATGGGACCACACTTCTGTGGCTGAGGCCAACAGGACCTCTCATGCCCTTCACCACCATAGCTGTGCTCAGGTCTCCTCTAGCAGCACAGGGTGGAATGCCTTCCAAAGTGATAATACATGAGCTCCAAAAGTCCTCCCTCAAAACCTTAAAATATACCATTTCTGCAAAAAACATATTTCACTACTCACTGTATCTACTTCAGATTTCATCAGTGAGGATTTAAGCTGAACACTATGCTGCTTTTGAGATGGCTTTTTGTGGCACAGTAATTGAATTCACTGCAGTGAGAGATGAAGGCACCATCATTTACTTCATTTCATTGAGAAACACAGCAAGTCTCTACACTTCAGGTCCATGGGTGAGCCAAATGCCATCTCCTTCTGGAAGCCAGCACAGAGGGATCAAGGTGCAGGAGTCTGGGAGGTGAGACTGATGCACAGTGTAGGGCTTCTGGTGGCGCACACTGCGGTCCTCTTAGCCCAGATACCTGGAGACATTCACTTCTACAAAGAACAGAGAGCAGAAATAAGTAACAGTACAGATGCAAATTTTAGCAGGCTTTTGGCTGTGTTTTCTTCTTTCTTTTATCTTCTAAATTCTCTCCAAATTCCAGGTTTTAGAAATACATCTTTATCAGAAGATACTTACAAAGTCTTAATGCTTGTCTAGGAAAAAATATTCCTTCCCTCCCACCCCAGTAAGGAAACAGTCTGTGATTTGTGGTGCTGATGTGCATAGCAGGAGAAGGAAGGGGTATGCACAGCACATGCTGTGTGGGCTCTCTGTACAGAAAGCGTGCATTAGGTGCTTGTCCCCATATGCTGGGCACAGCGATAGCTGCCCTCTTCAACCTCAGAACAGAAAACTCCACAACATCTCCAGAGGTCTTGTCAGGACAAAGGTTAAAGGGGTGGTTCTTCCTGCACGGAGCCTGAAAATCAAAGCTCCATCACATCCTGCTCTGCCTCTCAGCTGGAGCACATGGGCATGTGTCCATGGAGGTGGGCAGGTTTCCAGCAGGGTGAGGACTGAAGCTGTGGTCTCTGTCCTGTGCTCCAAGGTTGGTGGGAGGAGGAGGAGCTGCTGGTACAGAAATCAAACAGCATTTTCCTGGCACGGTGAGGTTCAGTGGGATGATTGCTAGGTTTGCTGGAGAGTCAAGAACAGATGGCCACCACTTGTGAAGGGTTTGGCAGTGTTTTTTGCTGCTGCAATGATTTCTGTGGAGTTGAGCATGGGAGGTTCTGCCTGACGCAGGAGGATGCTCATTGGCCTGTCTGTTCTCCCTGCTAAAGAGGCCCCTAAAAAGGTCCTTGTGTAGGCCACTGTGAATGCCAAGATAATCCTATCTTGAGGAGTAGCCCACCAGGGCTTTAGGAAATCTCAACCTTGTTTCTGGTGTTGCCAAAAGTATCAGTGGCCTCAGCAGCTGCTGTCGATGGAAGGTGTCCACCCTGAGATTGCCATTGCCCCGGTCCTTTACAGAAAAGGCCAACCTCCAACAGCAGCCTGTAGATATGACTGGCAGTATAATCATGGGGTATTTTGGTAGGTGGATCTCCCCATGATCTGTTTGTGTCATATGCTAACCTGCTTTACTCTGAACCTTACAAGACATCCAGCAGCCTTACCTGTGGGGTGCAGACAGCTGCTTGGAGTTGGTGTCTGTTGATCCATGGATCTCCATGTTCTCCGGACTAACCGAAGTTACGCAGTGCTGATGACCAGGAGACTGGCATCACAGGGAGCAGTTTGTCCCGAGACATGTTTTGGGCTCTTGAACCATCAGGCCAGGAGATGGCTGCAGCCTGGCAGGGCAGAGCTGTCATCATGGCTTCCGAGCCCCAGACGCGAACAAAGTAATGTGGTTTTCAGCTTCTATTTTTGAAGTCCAGAAATATGCAGCAAAGTTCCTGCCCATGTCTTCTGAGCACATTGCTAACCACAGCTGGGCACTGCATAATGCCTTGGTGGTTTCTGTGTGTGCCCAAGGAATGTGGCTGGAGCATCAGCAGGTGACTTAAGGGAGCTGGAGCATGGACTTGCTGCAGATTTCGGACCTAATTCCCTTGCTTCGTTTACTGGACTTGCTGGATACCTTAGCCTCATTTTTCCCTAAGTATTTGGCAAGAGACACTCTGTAAAAGGGAACTTCCCCTCTGCACAGTATAATGCCTTAAAAATCCTTCATTTTTCAGCCATTTGTGCCTTGCTCCCACTTGTTCTCGAGCACTGCTGCATTGCACTATCTCAGAGGTCGTGGGATTTGGGCACTTGTTTGAGGCCACCCAGGAGTTCTGTGGTGGGGGAAGAGGGAGTGGGAGAACTAAGTTTTCTAAGCCTTCAATGTACCCTCCAGCTACTGAATCACTCTGCATTCAGCTGCTTGGAAAATCTGACTTTCCAGAGGCAGATGCAGATCGCCTGGAGCAGTTCTGCTGCCATATGCCCTTTCACATGTTTGGCCTGGGCTGCTTCAAGAGCAACTCTTCCTTCAGTGGTGATTAAATTACTGTTCTTGGCTGGCTTTGATAAACTGTTGTGCAGCTCAGCTAGGCAGCAACCTTTGTAGTTTGCTGTGGGAGCAAATTAGCTCCAGTTTTCTGGAAAGGTAGCAGAGGTGGGGACAGTCACTGCTCTGTCTGCTCGCAGCAGCAGGAATCAGAGCTAGCAAGGACTAAAGTGCCATGGATTTCTAGATACTGTGTGGTGCCTGCCCATGCTGCTTCTCAAGACCCTTTAAAGTTTCAGCAGTGGGTCTGGGCATCACAGTTTTCTCTCCAGATGTGAAAACATGACCTAAAAACAGAGACTAGCTCTCTTGCTGGGTCTGCTAGTGCCACATTCCTGGGTATGGCCTGAAATGACATGGTGGCCCTACACCACTGTCTGTAATTGTCACTCTACTTCCTACTGAAATAGCACCTCACTGTTTCTGCACAGCCCCGGGTAGCGAGTGCTCTGCTGGGAAATGCCACATGTCACTGATATAACTGTGTTTCTGACTTGCAGCACTAGATCGGAGAAGCTCCTTGACCAATGGAGACTCAGGACTGCACTTGTCCCCTCCTCAGAAGAGCCTGCCGGACCTCCCCCCTCCAAAGGTATCTTTTGCAGATCTTTTGCTTTTTACTGCCTAGCCCTCAGCCTGGGGATCTGAACCCCCTGGGGCTTCACTTTTGTTACAAACCATGCAGCATAGCTAAACAGAAAGACCGCTGCGTGTGTATGTTAGTGAGGCAAATAGCCCTGGTGAGCTTCATTTTTTAAAAATAAAATATTCAGCTAGGGCCTCCCCAGTGTGCAGGTTTCCACCTGTATGCTTCATCTTTGTGAACGCTGCAGGTCAGCATGTGGCTGGTGCAGGCACTGTGGCTGGCTGGTGGCCCAGGCACTGTGCCTGTGCTCTGGGGTGGCTGGGCATGCAGAAAATCCTGCAGTTCGAGCTTTGGGAATGGACGAACAGATGGAGGAGACAGCTATGGGAGCCTTGGGCTTCCTGTGCATATGCAGGAGCACGGTGAAAACAGGCTGTGGTCCCAGCCAGGGAAACCCGCACCCCTCGCGTGGCAATCCAGGCTCAAAGAGGAAGACAACTGAGATTTTCAGAGAAACAAAGCTTATGATGGCTCTCAACTGTTGCTTTGGAAATCACGTGCAAGTTGTAAAGCAGCTGTGCCTGGGCTGCTGACATGAACTTATAAATGCCAGAAATCTTTCAGCTGCAGGGTGGTGGGTGATCCCAAGGCAGAGCCAGGATCTACCTTGCTGGCAGAGCTTTGCGCGATTTGGCCATTAGCAGAGAAGATCAGGTTTGCTTCCAGTTGAAGTGCTTGGTGTTTGTGCATTCAGTGACTGTGACGGGCGTTATGCTGGTTGTACAGACCACAGGTCTGTGAGGAGGAGTCACTGGCACTAGATTTTTCTATAGGATAGCTATAAATCTAGCCAAGGTCCAATTCAACACCATCAGCTTTCAGTGGGATTTTGTCTCTGTGCCAGCAAGCCAGCCCAGCTGTCAGAGAGACTCGGGTCATCCTCAGGACCCCGGATGTTGCTGTTCAGTAGCTGATCCAACGTGGGAATTGCTGTAGCTGGGATTTCAGGATGTGAAAGGAAAGGAGGGCACAGAGTGTGCATGGGGAGGAGGAGGAGGCATGGAGGAGGATAGGCTGGTTCATCCATCAACCATAGAGTAGGTTCTGCGCCTTTCCCAGGAAGGAGGACATGGGATGAGGCCCCAGGACTTCTGCCCAGGGGACTGTGTGGCTCAGCTGGAGTGAGCTGGGAAAATGAGGGCGGTAGGATGGGATGCAGCCGACAAACCCTTGGATGCAGTGTGGTTGCTTGCTGGGAGCTGCTCCAGCCAGACAGAGATACATCGCTGAAGCTGGAGTCTCCTGGGAGCAGTGACTAGAGCAGGAATTACTGTTTGGCTTTGGGTTTCTCAAAGCTGGAGGGTGTGGTGGCTGTGGCAGGGAGGTGGGCAGGAGGACAGCAGTGCAGTGGAATGATGGTGCAACCAGGGAAGCAGCAGCTGAGTGTCCCCAGGGCACTTCTGCTTGTGCTTGGTGCAGCCCAGCTTTCTGACAGGGCAATCAGGAATTAGAAAAAGACAGTCTTGGATTTTAGCTGAGAAGGGTACCTAAGCCATCCATCTTCTCCCAGGCCTGTGCTGGGAACTACCTTCTCCCACCTGCTTACCACTGGAGCTAACCTCCCTTGGATAAAGCAATCAACTACCTCCTTGCTCTGAGAATCTGAGTGTCAGTGAGCTGTTAGCAGCAAAGATATCTGAGTATATTTCAAGGAGTGGGGCAAGGGAGAGCTTTAACGTGGTCCCTGTTGGTGTGTGGAAGTTGCTGCTGTGGGGGGATTAATCTTCCCAGTTCTGTTTGCTGCTTCTGGCATGGGCCAGGAGCCATGGCCACCTGGGTGGTGGAGGAGGGAGCACAACTTACACAAGAATGGGAAAGTTAGGGAGAGGAACTCTGAACATTATTTTAGCTCTGTGGAGTTTTCTGTGGTTTGGTGATGTTAAAGCACCTTGTGGTGTTGCTCTACACTCTCTTTTTGAGGCACAGAAGTTTGGTGATAAAGTTCTGCACAGCAGGTTGTCTCTGGTATTCACTGATACCAACAGTCAATGAGCAACCCAACAGGGGTGGCCCCCCTGGACCCCACTATGATCTCTGGATTTGTCCCAGAGCAACCTTTATCCTGCAGGCAGTGGCTCAGACATTGGTGACCTTTCATCTGCAGTAGCCCTGGCAGTTCTGCTGTTTTCCACAGCCATCCACTGAGAAAGTCACATGGTGCGGATGCCCAGGATGGTTTTATTTGCATGATCCATTGTGCTGTAAAGCAACAGGCAAATGTTCTGCAAGGGCCAGCCTGGGTTAGGTAACACTGTACATACTTTCTGACTTAAGCTAGAGACAAAACAACTCCATGCCTTTAGGGAAAGAGAAGAGAAAAAAATAGCTTCTAGGGCAGCTGAGGTGCAGTCCCACCTAGTCCCTGTTGGCTTCCATTGTCTGTAGGAAACAAAACAGAGCAGACCCTTTCCCCCCCTGCCCCCACCTTCCCTGGTACTTTTGGGATGGTGTCAAATAAACCCACAGCATTTCTTTGTGTAGGCAGTTTGTTTATGGTCACAGCACAATGTGAGCTGGCTACGTGCAAGGAGGCCACCACAGGTGGCAATTGCAGACATATTCCCTGGCCAGAGAAGGGATTAAGTAAAGCTTTGGAGTGGCTGGGTTTGATTTTGTTTCTTTAATTTAACACGTTATGACAAGTTCCTAAACCTTTAAGTCTTTGGAGGCAAGTGTTTTATGGCAGTGTGTCCTGCATGACTCTGGAAAGCAAGTTCATTCTGCTCACAGCATCTGGCAGACCCATATAGGAAGGATTTTTCATCCAGGACACTTAAGAAGTTTGCAATATTGGCAGATCCATGAGCAGCTCACCCATGTGGGAGCAGAGACGTGTGATTTTGGCCAGTGTGGTCAGGGTACCTATCTCCCACAGGCTCAGCAGCATCCCCCTTTGTGGGCAGTTGCTGGCCAGAAAAACTTTTCCTTCTGGGCAGCAGTACTTATTGGTGGAAATGACCAGGGCAGGATGGGCAGCTTTGAACCTGTATTTGATGATGCTGGCATGACCTGCAAAGGGACTGATCTTGCCTTAGACTGCTCTGTGATGCTGGTGCCCAGCCGGCCCCTCTTCTCCAGACCACCAGGAGCAATCCCATGGGCTGTCAGGAAGGACCATGCATGATCCCTGACCTTCAACACTGCTGTTTCTGCAGAGACCTGCTCTTCTGCCTGTCCTCCGAGGGGTCGGGCTTTATCCCTGCATGCACTGAATGTCCTATCCAGGATTTGCACAGGTCTCAGTCAGATGTCCGGGGGTGGTTTGACCTGGGTGAGGCAAGGGTACACCTCGCTGAGGAGCAGGGGGACGCTAATGTCGAGTCGTAATGGGAGATGGGATGCCACGCATTTTGGGAAGAGCAGAAGCTGTGTACTCATCCTACTGTGATCTGTGCTTCCCTGCCTCACATTCAACAGCTATGTCAATTACCTGAAAAGTAAAAAGTTTTGATTCTTTGCTTCCCCCCCTGCCTTTTCTTTTTTCCTTATGTGTTAGTATTTCTAAAGGATCAAGGCTCTGTTTTTCTTGCCAGCCCTTGCTTGTGTTTCGGGAGGGGTTTGGCAGGCACCACAGGGATTTTCCATCACTTGGACTCTTATCAAAGGCTTATTTTCCATCGTTGTTGTTTATCCATTTCCTTCATTTTTTGCTCAGAGCACCATTAAAGATTCCTGATAGTTCCTAAAGAAGAGAATTTAGCTGTTGGTTTGCTATCAGTTGGAAACTTGGAGACACGACCAGGGACTAATCAAGCCAAGCTTTACAGTGTAAAGCCAGGATTGCGCTGAAAGTCTGTCCTTCTGGTTCCCTGTTAAGATAATCAGTAGCACAGAGGATCATCCCCAGTTATGATAAGCAGCTCACAGGGGATCGGTGCAGCAGGCAGAAGATAAGTCCAGTGGGTTGCAATTGCTGCTTTGAAGAAACCTGTGAGTTGGTCGTCCCCAGGGCTTTCAGCAATATTAAGAAAATAACATTTATGACCCAATTAGGTAGTAATTTCAAAGAAATCCTTTATGTTTGAGCTAACTGTACACTGGAAACCCTCAACAGTCTTTCTTCCCTGTCATCTCAACAGAAATCCTGGTGTACACATCTAAAAGATTTCATCCAGGGTGCACTTTAGGGCTAATTAAAAAACCAAAAGTATACCCCATTGTTTTCAAGGATCTATTTTTACCTTAAATCATGCTTCTTTTATGTATTTATTCTGCAGATTCCTGAAACAAAACAACCTCCTGTCCCCAAGATCGAATCCCCAGAGGGATATTACGAAGAGGCTGAGCCATATGATGTCTCTGTAAATGGTATATCACAGCTAACTCTCTGGGGGTTTCATGTGGGAGATGGAGGACTTGAGGTTAATGAGCAAGTAAACAAAAGCACAGACATTTCTTACAGCTTGTATGGCAAATTTGTTTTCTGATGCTGGTCATGCTTGATATTGCAGATCTAATGCCAGTTGGAAAGAAAAAGCTACTAAATTACTCAAACTTTCATCTTTCCTGTGGAAATAAGTAGTACACCTGGGTTAATATATCATCACTGTAAGATATTATAAACCATTGTGGGTTCTCTTTGTCTTGATGGTTTACTGGTAGATAGTCTGTAGTCAAACACAGCTTTCTATTCAAGAGTGAGTGGGGAAGCTGTGGTGGCTTGCATTCATGTCCTAGTGCTCTAATCATCCCTTTGGGGCTCACAATCCATGAATGTTGGTCTGTTAGATGTGATAACCATTTTTATAATTGGCTATTTATTCAGCTCTGCCTCTTGTGGCGGTTTAACCATCTGTAAACTAAATTAAAAAGCCACACTTTGTGTGAGGGGACAGTGTGTGGGTTCCCTCTGCACACACTCGCTCGCTGCCTGGGTTGGCACCTTGGCTCCTCCCAGCAATGTCCTCAGCAGTGCCACTGATACCTGTCACCTCTGGGCTCCTCACCCTTCAGGAGGAGACTGCTGCATGCAGGCTGAGCTCCCAGATTCTCACTTTTTAAGATGTATTAACAGTATCCTTCTTCCGGTGAACACCCTTCGTGAGAGATTACCTTCCTCTGATCTGATAGCAGAGCTGATCTTGTCATCACTTTAAAATCCATTTAAGCCCAAACGAGACAGATTGTATCGCTCTGCTGCAGAAGCAGATCTCTGCTCATCAGCCTTGACTGCAGCAGAGTGGGATGCAATGATGTGCATGGCGTGGGGAAGAGCTGAGTGTGGAGAGTCAAGACAAGTGAGTTAAGGGTGAAAGATTTGGATCTGAATGAACCTTGGCCGTTGAATCTGAACTGCTTATGAGAGAAGCTGAGTCCTGTGCAGTGCCAGGCTGTGAAGCGCCCTGGCAGGGAAGCACCAGCGGTGACACTGTGTGAAGCAGCTGGGGGTTGATGCACCTGAACAGCCCTCGCTCTGTGTGTGCACCTTGCACTCCTGGACAGCTCGTAGCTCTGTGTGGGTGGTTGTTCTCACGAAGGTTTAGGAGTTACATTGCTAATCAAAAAAGGGACCTGCTGTTTTGGCTGCAACCACATTACAGTGATGAACAGGAAGATCCTGCCCAGCTCAGGTGGGGAGAGGTGCAGGATCATTGTGGCAGGGGTGAAATGTGCCATTTGGTGTGGAGGAAAGGTCCCTTTAGATCCGCCATGTGTAGTTAGGTGCCAGCTCGGTCTTGCCTAAATGCTCTGGATTGTCTGGGCGAGGTCAGGGCTGTGGCACTGCACAGGGTGTGGGGGGTGAAGCCCTCCTGCAGCTGGGATGCACAGGTTGTCAAAAGTCTCGTCGGTCCCTGCAGGGGGTTTCCAGTTGCCTGCACTGTAAGATAAATGGACTTTTTTTTTCTCCCTGATGCACTTTGGGAAAGTGGATAATGTTCTAAGAGCCATGGCATGTAAAGACATACACCAGATTAGGTGGAGTACAGCCACGGATCCATGTGCTGGGAAACCCAGGTTGTGTTATCCAGGCAGCTCCATAAACTGATGTTGTGTTCAGAGCCTTGGCTGGCAGGAGTGATAAGCACACACCCAGCTTAAACGTCTGCTTTTACTTGGTAACCTGCTGCTCAAAGATGCAAATACACCCGCCGTCCACTGAAACCCAGGCTGGTCTGATGCCTAAGGAGAGAAGATATCAGAGCCCTGCAAAAAGAAAGAAAAATCCTGTATGATGGAAGCATGGTCAAAAATGAGGTGGTTCTGGGACCCATGGGGCAGTCTGGGGCTGCTATGAATAGCTGTTTGACCAGGGGGCTTGGTGTTTTACCGAGCAGTATCACAGCCATAAGTGGAGCTAGGAGCCCATGAAGTGAGCAGAGATGGGATGTGCAAGTCCAGGCAGTCCCTCGCCACCGAGGTGAGTGGTGCCTTCTCCTCCTGTGACTGCTCAACCACTGCTCCCCTCTGCAGGCTCCAGCAGATCCCTTCTACACAAACCACCTGGTGTGCTCTAATGCCGACGGCTTTTAAGGTGGTTTGTGTGAGAAGGAAGGCAGCATCATGTCACCAAGAATCTCAGTGCTTTTTGGCAACCTGACGTTTGAGGTGGTGCCTTGGGGTAAGCGAGAAGGAAGAGCAGGGAGAGAGATGTGGAGCAGCAGGTGTGTGGCAGGAGGAGGGAGTGGGGGTTCAGGAAAGGGTGAAGTGTGGCATGCTGTGCAGAGGGGAGCTCAGGCAGTGATGCGGGGAAGCTGCTGGTGCCCCTGTTAGCCTCAAGATCAGGCACCAAATCCTGTGGCACATGGACAAACCTGCAGATCTCAATCCTGTCCACTGATTCAATGAGTAGAAAACTGGGCTCCCAATCCCTTTTCCCCCCCTTGCCTTATCTGATAGCAATAGTACCTGTACCTGTCATACATGGAATGATGCTCATTACTAGCAACTGCCTTGAGACCTTGGCGTGACTGCTGATGCTAAAGGGCAGTCTGGACATGCATGGGTTTGCCCTGGCCAAAGGGCTAAAGCCTGACCCCAGTAACCTCCGGGCCGTCTGTGCTCACCTCTGTCTCCCCACAAGCTGGGTTGGGAAGGGGCCGGCGGTGCAGGGAGCTGCTGGTGGTGTTTCAGACAGAATTACAGCGCGAGCCTTGGAAAACACCCATGCATCTCCAAACAAATGGGTGTAGTGAAATCAAACAAAAATAGGAACACCACTAAAATTAGTGGGTATACTGCCAAGAAAGGACATCAAAGCAAGCCTCCAGATGGGCCGAGGAGATAGAGGATTTGTGCAGCGTCAGAGGTGGGATTGGGAGGCACTGCAACAAGCCATGGGTGAATTAATTAAAATGAAGTGGGCAGGCGAGACTGCTGGGTCTTGGGGTCCCTCTTTCATCAGCAGGATTCCCGCCCCTCTGCTGGGGACGCCTCTGCCTTTCATTTCACAACTCCAGCAAATGCTGCTGCTTCCCTTTCCTCCTGGGCTGAAATGTGTTAAACTGTTATCATCCTCGTCCTCGTCTGTGTTTGCATAATTGAAGGGTGCGATAAGAAACAGAGTGAAAACGCAATGGGCAACATGATTGCCAAGTGAGCAATAATTATTCCGGCTGAAATAGCTCATCTGCCCTCACTGATTTTAATTATGATGGTGATGATTCCATTTTAAGGGGAATTGCCTTTTTTGAGGGGATGGATTGAAAACGCTGTCCCTGTTTGAAGTCTCCCCGTACGGTGTGCTCCTCCGTCAGCAGTGGGGATGGGGCAGCCTCGCCGGCTGAGGGGGGAGCGTGGGGCTGAGCTGGACTGATGCCCTTGTTCTCCACATTTGCTTATCTGTGGCTTTCTCTCTTTGTCTCCTTTTTTCTTTCCTTTTGACTGTGCAGGTCTTTTTGGTAGGCTTGCTGCGGCTGGACCCAGGCCAGGGTTGCAGGTTACTGAGGGCGTTATTTATGCCACAATAACAATGGGTATGGCATGCTTTCCAAACCTGAAGTGCCCTTTTGGGTTGTTTTTTCTTTCCCTAAAAAACCTCACCAATGACTCAGGTTTAGCAAAGATGGTCAGGTGCCTCCCCCTGGAACTGCCCATTAGATGCATGGAGGGTAACCACCTCTCCCCTCTCTCTGCCCTGACAGATATATGCAAGGCTATGGTTTTTTGTGCCTTTCCCTGTGCTCAAGGTGACAATGAAGAGAACTTCCCATGCCTTTATTCCCCTAGTTCTGTTCATTGGTGTGGAGCTGATATGTGGTAACGCTGGCTGTATTGACAAGTAGCCATTTAGTGGACATTGAAGGTGCTCTGCTTGTGCAGGGGCAGCTCTAGTGTGTGAGATGGTTGGAGCTTCCTGCATCATGGTATTGATTTAGTTCCCTGGAAGGTCATGGGAAGACAAACAGGAAAGCAGAGGTGGATTAAATAAAGACATCCAAGAACATGGCTGCCACTGATGTCACAGCAATGAATGGATGAAACTGGTCTAAGTTGAAACTGCCAGTAGGTGGAAATGGAGACGTGCTGAAGTGCCTGAGCCGTATGATTTGGGATTGAGTGAGCCCTAGTACTGACGATAGTGTTGTCTCGCGTCACCCCAGCAAGGTCTGTTCCAGTTTGCTGAATCCTGGAAAATGCCTTTCCATCATGAGGTCATAGCAGTGTCACCAGCCCAACAATGGCTGCAGCTCTTCAAGTAGAGAAGAGTTCATCTCATGGGGCACTTGTGGTTGATGCACAAAAGAGCAGCCAGGGCTTCTCCTGAAAGCATGGAAGAAAAGTGTTATTTCCCCAGGAGAAATGTGGCAGCCTGAGACCTAATGCCTAGGCGAGGGTCACCAGGCACACCCAGAAGGGGCCAGAGGGGCAGTTAGTGATAGTCCCATGTTGATAAGGAGGGAGATTTAGAAGATGAGGTTCCCGTAGGCATCCTTGTTGCTGCTGCATAAGGAAAGGTCCCTACCAGTGCAGAGGTTCAGCTTCTTGGTATTACTAGGGATAAGAAACCTCAGCACTTTTACTCCAGCTGAATTTCTGCCCAGAGTGCCTGTGGACAAGGTCTGCATAGTGATAATGCGTTGTGGGGTAATGTTTTCCCGTAAAAGATGGACAGTCCAGTACACTGAAGGTATGGAGATGGTGAGCCAGTAGGGTGCTGTCAGCACCATTCAGAGACTTTGAAAGGGAATATTTGCTTTTTAATAAGCTTGTTTAATTGGTGCAGATTTGCTCACTCAAGGGATGTTACAGATTTCACTGGGGCTAAGGCTGTAGCTTTGTTACTACATCTCGGTTCTTTTTATTTTAAGAATAAACCCAACTTAAGAGATGTTCTTTAGTGGAGCTCCTAAGGCTTTTTTTTTTTTCTTTTCTGGCTGCTTTTCCGCCTTTTATTCTGCACCAATCTGACAATGTTACTTTTATGTACATGTTAAGATTTGATGAGAATCGAAATTAGATTAAATTCTGGTGAGAGAAACTTAACAATATTCCTCCATGCTGTTTGGTAGGACAAGAATGCAAAACTCTACACAGATGCTGCCCAAATCTTACCATCTTGCTCTATGAGCTCACCTTGTGAATAAGAGCCTTACTGTAAATGCCAGCAGAGCACTGCAAATTCCCCTGCAGTCAGTGGGAGCATTTTCATTTTCTGATGAGACTGGTACCAATGACCAGCTGTTCCTACCAGCTGAAAACTCCAATAAACTACAGTATGTTAGAGCTGTGTATTGAAAATCTCAACTCATCCTAATAACGTAGCGATCCATTTAAAAACAAACATGAAAAATCTGATTGCTGTTATTTTACAGCTGCTACTTATGACTTAATTTTTGCTTCTGCAGCAGTGTATTACTTCAAAGCCCCTTGCTGTCCCTTAGATGCTGAGTAGAGAGACAGACCTGTTAGCCAAGAGAGGGAAAGTGGAATGATATCTCAAATACAGTAGATCATTGCTTTCTGCATGGCCTCGCAAATACCAATTTTACTTCTGACATTCTGAGGACAAGGGCTGATTGTAGCTTGCTGTTGCCTTAAATATTGTGTTTGGCTTGAAGTGGAAAGTAGAAAAATCATTTGGGGGGGGGGGAAGCATCAAACATCAGAAAATGTCTAAGGGAATGCTGAATTTGTGGTCAAAGTGTCTTTTGAGTGTTTGCTAACTGAGGCTATTAGGCACAAAACATTGCAATGAGATTGATAATGGGCCAGAAAGAAATTATCTCTGACGGTTATTTTTCTATCGATTATCCTGTAATCCTGAGAGCCTCAAAAGACATGTCCCTATGCTGGAAGCTTTTGCATGTGTGAGCATGGCTGAGGCAAGCAACAGGCTCAGAGTTGTCCTGGAAATTTATTTAATGATAAAGCTTTGCTTTTGTTATAGAAGATGGTGAAGCCGTTAGTAGCTCCTATGAATCTTACGATGAAGAAGAGAGCAGCAAAGGCAAATCAGCAACCCATCAGTGGCCATCCACAGAGGCCACCATTGAGCTGATGAAGGATGCCCGCATCTGTGCATTCCTGTGGAGAAAGAAGTGGCTGGGACAGTGGGCAAAACAGCTGTGTGTTATCAAGGACACCAGGTTACTGGTAGGTAGATCTTCCACTCTCTGCCTAAAACCACCTGTTTTCATGAGCTGTGGAAGAAAGTGGCACTTCAGGCCATGTTAACTAGCTGGTAAAACCAAAGTACCTCTGGAAGCAATGCTTGAAAAACCATGTTGCAGAGATTTGGGGATCTCATTCCATTTCAGAAGGGATGTGAACATGGGGCTTTTGTGGGTGGGGGGCTCAATGGCACATTTGTGGCCAAAATCTCAAATTCCAAAAATGTCTAGACATGCTTTTTGGGGAAACTTTTTGAGGTGGTAAAACAGAAGGGGTGCTTATCCCACTGGCTAGCCACATATTTGACCTCTAGCAGTGTCTGTGAGAGATATTTCAGGCTGTATATGCATGTACATAGATGTATGTGTATCTCTAGACATAGAGATGTACTGTGTGTAGTCTGTGTAGACACTGCACCCTTGTAGGACCTATAGGACCTTCTTGTGTTCAGGGCACTTAATGAGTGTGGTTGCACTGAGCCACTTCTAAGGCTGAGTTCATGCTGGAGAGAGAGAGGGACTGCTCCTCCTCAGCCTCTTACCTGCCTTCCCATCTTCCTTTCCCAGTGCTACAAGAGCTCCAAAGACCACAGCCCTCAGCTCGATGTGAATTTGCTGGGCTGCACTGTCATTCACAAGGAAAAGCAAGTGAGGAAGAAAGAGCACAAGCTGAAGATCATCCCCATGAACGCTGACGTCATTGTGCTGGGGCTGCAGAGTAAAGACCAGGCAGAGCAGTGGCTCAGGGTCAGTGGCGCCTTCAGGGCTTGTCCAACTGGTGCTCCCATGCTTCTACCCTGGCTTTGCTGGGGGACCATATCTTATCTCAGTCTCGTCCTTGTGTGTTCTGGCTCCCTTCCTCACTGTAAGCCCATATACAAACACATCACTTCATTTTCATGTCCCAGGATAGCTTCTTCCTGCAGCTCCCCACCACCTTCTGCACAAGGGAGGCTGTGGAGGGACCTCCCAGCCCAGCTGCTGCAGCAGGAGGGATGTCTGGGGCAGGTGCCCAACATGAATTGGCTGAGGACAGGGGTAGATGTGGCCCTTTCCCTGAGAAGGCAGCAGCAGAAGGAGTCTTCATGGAGCCCAGGGCAGCAGTTGGGCTGCAAGGCGCTGGGGCTGCCTTTGCTGGCAGCCTCTCCCTGCCTGTCCGGGATCCAGCAGTTTCTGCTGGCTGCCTGCTGCAACACCAAGTCCCCAGGGTCACAGGGAGCATGAACTGTGGGTCTCCCAGGCTGCTGTGGTTTTGCATGTCCTGAGTGGGGGAGAAGTATTGATCCTGTTACTTCAGCTCTCTCACAGGCCGTGGTTTCCCCTTCTGCACAGGTAATCCAGGAGACCAGCGGTCTGCTGTGCGAAGGAGGCAGTGAGGGCAATCAGTACATCCCAGATTCGCAGCGCCTCAGTTACCCAAAGGTACACCTTGTCTCTTCAGAGAGAACTTGCATTTAGGCTCTTCCACGTTGTTCCTTTAATAAATAATAGTTGTAGGTACAGTAATTTTATCTGAACAAAGACTGATATAAGTGTAACCAGACCCCTGTTCCAGCGAAAATGAGTGTTATTAGAACAATCTAAAATTTCCTTTGCAATCTTAATTTTGTTGTCATACCTTTCCCCCCAAACTGACTCAGCATTGAGCTGTCCTCCATGCAGGGCAGCAGCCACTTTCTTATCCAGTGGGACAGTTGTGCTCACCAAGAGCTTTGGAAGGGACACAGACCCTTGGATGCCAGGGCTTGGGCCAGTCTCTAGTCCAGACTTAAGTGACGCTCCCTTGGGGGCAGTTTTTTCCAAAACAGTGGAAGACGAAAGTAACCTTCATAAATCTCTGGTGCACATCCAAAATGGACCTGTTTGGGCACCTGGCCAGTTCCTCTGCCCATGCCTTCCTACAGGGACTGGCAAATGCCCCCACCACCCAGGCTGCAGGGCCCGAGGCCACTGGGTGCCACCTCATCACCTCCAAGGCAAACCCAGCTGGGGCGGTTCATGTGCCCATGTCAGGCTCAGAAACAGTGGGAAGGGCACAGTGTGAGTGGGCAGGTGGGGCATGTCTGTGTAAAAGCATCTGCTACGGAGAGGGTGGGACCTCATAATTAGGATGTGGGAAGAAGGCACTTGTGGCATGTGCTGGATGGAAGAATGGGTCACGTGCATCTGCGGAGCTTGTGTCTGGTGCTTGTTGACAGGTGGAGGTATCTGAGAGGTACTCTGCAGCCTCCGAGAGTGGGAGCAGCACGGACGGCCACCCAGAGACAGCTGAGACAAAAGATGGTAAACCCTGGGAACGACAGGGAAACCAGGCCATTGACCCTGCATGTGGCAAGGGCTTCTGTAGCTTCTCCTGCCGCTGACACCTCAAACTGACCTGATGCAGGGTGAAAGCTGCATGTGAAATTACTGCCTGTGAAGTTGGTTTCAGTGCTTTTGTCCATAGTGAAGTGACATATGGATGCTGGGATTTCTCAGCAGTTACAGAGTTAGGACAGGGCTTGAGAAACCTGGGTGTGATACCTGCCCTACCAGAAATCCTGCATGACTCTGGGCAAGTCACTTTGGGACAGTTTGAGATGGCATAAATGCAACCTAAGTGACTTTCCTCAGAGATGTGTTCAGAGAAACTTGGAGTACCTTTGTGTAATAATGAGCTGTCTCCAGAGGGAGAGTTATATCTTCACACCAGGGCATCCAACTCTGCTTGAAGCTGCATTTCCTATCTGTAAAATGGGGCAGGTAAGTACATTAAAATAGGAGATGCTCTATTAGAAGGATGGTGGCACCCATCCGTATATCAGAAAGATAAATCCGTGCTGAGGACTCACTGGAGTCACCCAACAGACAGAGCTTGGCTGTGAGTCCCTCTACACTAGAATGTTATTTTGTTATGATAGCAGGAAGGAAAATCTGGACTAAAAACATCCAACTTGATTTCTCACTAGGATTACCTGATGATCAGTCATATTCATTCACTCACACATGTGTTCGGTAGGAAAATACCTACCCTTTCCCCCTGCCCACCTTGAGTCCCTCTTTTAGAAGGGAAAAGACTTAACGGAGTAAATATTTATGGGTAATGGTTTTAAATTCCATTATTTGTAGTGTAAGAAAGTGAAGGGAGGTTGGCACCTGCACAGCAAAACCTGTGCAAACAGTGTTCCTGAAGCAACTGGTGTTTGGTCAGGACTAACTCAAGTTTACAGCAATATACATTCAGTATCTTTGGCAATCACCTGAGATTACTGGTGCTCTCTGGCTCATCTTCCTGGACTATTAGTGTCTATCCCCGAGTTGCAGGTTTGTCCTCTACAAGGGATGGGTGTGCCGCAGCGCTGTTGGGTGCAGGACAGCAATGCAGGCTTTGGGGCAGGACACCTGGCTGGGACATCAGGCTGTGTATGTGGCTGTCCATGCATATGTCTTTTTGTTTTCTGGTAGTTAAGAAAAAGGGCACAACTGGCCTGAAACTGAGCAACCTGATGAACCTTGGGAGGAAAAAATCCAGCTCCCTGGATAGCCCAGAGAGATCCCTGGAGACTTCAAGTAAGTGGCAACATGAGCCCCTGTGCAGGGATTTGTCACAGGGTTGGATCTCAGTGTGCAGGGCAGGATGAGCACCAGGCATCCTCCTCCTCAATCACACATGTTCCAGGCTGTCCCGCTGGGGAAGGCAAAGAGGCCACAGTCCGCTTGGTCCATGCCAGTAAACCCATGCAGATTGTGGTGTCTACTACACATTAAGGTGACTGTGTGGCTTGCAAGGGCAGGCAATACCTCACAGGGTGACCCAAGAGGAAGGGAAGATAATACCAGACATGCACGTAGAGGGCATCAGCCCAGGGTGTGGGAGTCCGCAGGTAAAGAATTGTGTGGGTCAGTTTGTATTCACCGTGTGGGACCAACTTTGTCCAACCATCCGCAGCCAACTTGCTTCTCTAAACCTAACCTGAATTTCAAGGGTCTCATTTTGAACAGATTTTTACCTTTTTCACCCTGTTTCATAAGGATAGAACAGCTTGTTTTTGTTGTTGTCTGTGGCTTTGTGTTGTGTGGTGATCAGAACTTACCCATCAGACATCCCCATGCACACAAATAAGTTTGGATTCTGTCTCCCTGTGGGGTGGAAAATGTGCCTAAGTAACCTGTGCTTGCTTGCAGGTTACCTGAATGTGCTAGTGAACAGCCAATGGAAGTCCCGTTGGTGTCAGATAAAAGATGGTCACCTCCATTTCTACCAGGACAAGAACCGGAGCAAACTGGCTCAACAGCCCCTCAGTTTGGCAGGTTGTGAAATTATCCCGGAGCCAAGCCCTGATCATCTCTACTCCTTCCGCATCCTGCACAATGGGGAAGAACGAGTCATTCTGGAGGTAGGGTGTACATCTTCAAGAAAGCTCTTAAGTCATCACCTTGGGTGTCTTAATAAACCTCAGTGCCAGTGACATCCTCCAGAGAAACCCTCAGCCCAGCAAAACAGAACCTGAAGCTTGGGACTTTGGTTCATCTGCCTGTGGTCACCTAGAAGGTGTCCCACCTGGCTGGTAATCCAGGCTGTGTCTGATGCTGGTGCCTCCAGAGGACCATTCAGCCTTCATCTTAGGCACTCATCTTAGGATGGGATGAAGGGTCCTCTGGAGGTGCCCATCTCTCTCCACTGACTATAGGGTAACTTCAGATGATTAAGTTATATGGGATGCATTTCAGATGGTTAATGTTAGATGAGAAGAACACCACTTAAGGGATTTAAGTCTGTGGTTAGGAGGAACAGAGAACTTCATCTTCTGAAAACAGGGAGTTCTAAAGCCATAGGTCATGCATCCCAGGTAAACCAATCACAGATCTGCTCCTGAAAGTGCAAGTGAATTCATCTCCATCTGTTAGTTCCTTTGCTTGCATCCAGGATTGTTTATCTCTAATCTTAGTTCTCTCTGACGACAGCATCATTATAGTAGGAGGTGGACAATGTGAGCAATTTCCTGTATTTTTCCAGTGACTGGAATATTTATAGCTAAACAACTAACTTTGAGGGCCAGCCATGAAGTTTGAAGGTGTTTTTGTTTAGCTTCTGATTTAGGGTATGTCTGTCCCTAAGAAATTTTGCCTAATTACAGAGGTGAAGAAGAGGTGCTGGGAAAATTTACATTTTGTGAACGGAAGAATCTGTATTTCGTTGGGATATCAGACTCTGTACAGACTGGCTGGCTGGCGGGCTTCCCAGGGACCAAAGTCTCTGCTAAATTAAAACAGATTGAAAGCTTAAAATATACTTTCCAGTTTGGGATTCACTTGCCCTGTATTCTACTTAGTGCTTACTGCTCTAACTCCTCAAATCTAAGCAAAAGATGGCTGCATCAGCCCACTCCTTGCTTCAGGTAGAAATCCCCTACTACAGGGAAATGCATGTGACTCTTTGCTAGAGCTGACCTCAGGGCACCATATTTAACTCTTCATTTTGAAAAATGTCAGACTGTTCACTGCAGCTGGGAATTTGGTACTGACCATGTTAAAGCGATGGGCTCTCTCTGATGTTCTCTAATTCCACTTTAAACTCTTCCCTGCCCCTCTCCCCTGTGCAGAGAGCCCTGGAAGGGGTTTGGACTCCTAGAACTGGCAAGCTCCCTGGTGTGCTCGGGTCTCCTTGCACCTCTGGGTTTGCACCTCCCATTGCTGCGCTCTGCTGGTGCAGAATAAAACCTGCATGCTCTCCTTGGCAAAGCCAGCTCCCGGCCAGCACCTTCAGCCCGAGACTTATCTTACACTTGTAGGCAGCTGAGTCGATCACCACTGAAAGGAAAATGCAGAAGACTGGAAATTTTAGCAAAGAATTAAGTGAAGAGCTGCATTTATATATCTTCCCTATCAGTCCATACACAGAGTGGCACTTCTCTCTTCTTTTAAAGCAACCTCAGGTTTAATATAAATACCCAGTGGTTTATCTTTCCCCTTGCAAGCCCAGAGGACTGCCAGCATACTTTCCCTACCCAAGGCTAAGCAGGCATTAGCCTTGGGAGTGTAGAGAAACTGCTATTGCAACCTTTACTACCTGTCTGATCACCTTGTAGGCAAAGTCCTCTGAGGAAATGGGCCACTGGCTGGGCCTCCTTTTGTCGGAGTCAGGTTCGAAAACAGACCCAGAGGAATTTACGTATGATTATGTGGATGCCGACAGGGTTTCCTGCATTGTGAGCGCTGCGAAGAACTCCTTCTTGTAAGTCAGCGGTAACAGCTGGGGCTGTGCGGGGCTGGTAAAGGGGAAGCAAGCCAGAGCGGGGTCCCTCTGCTTGTGGGAGGTTGGCTGCCGTGGGAATAGATGGTAAGTTCACGGCTGTGGCTCAGTTGCTTTCTTTGGGAGCTCAGTGCAGGAAAGAAGAGCACTTGATGTTGTCCCATGATGCATCTGTCCTGAGCTGCAGCTTGTCAGGGGGCTAGAGGCACATGCCCAGGTGGCTTTTGCAAAGGGAGGTTGGTGGGATGGTCTTGGCTGGGGGGCGTGGGGTTGTGGGCACCCAGCCATGCGGTTCACCATGCCACTGCCGTGCTGTGCCCAAGGGCTGAGTGAGAAAGGAAAGAGCAGCGGGGAAATGTAGCCACATGGCCCTGCTCAGACCCCACGACTACTATGCCCAGATGCCCCAAAATGCAGTGCAGCACAGCCATGCAGTGAGACCAGTCCCTCCTGATGGGATGTCCCACTGCCTGTTCACAGCTTAATGCAGAGGAAGTACTCTGAGCCCAACACCTATATTGACAACCTGCCAAAGGGTAGGATGCAGCAGGAGGAGCTGTACGACGATGTGGATCTGCCAGACCTGCCTGTGGTAAGATACCCAGTGCTGCAGGCAGCTACCCTGCCACATCGAGCTCTGTGGGCAAACACCTGGCCAGGGGGAGTCTCCAGCAGTGAAGGGGGAGGCTTTTCCAACAGCAGCAAAGAGGATTCCCAACCCCTGGGGAAATCCAGGCTTTTGCAATGGGGCAGAAGCAAGTGCTGGAGAGGAGTCACTAAGGAAAGGGGGAGAAGTTTCTGGCAGAGTGCTGTAGGGATCTCCTGGCAGCTGGGATAAAATCCCACTGTTTCCGTAGCAAACAGGATGGATTATTTGGTGATAGATAGTGGGTTGTTTGGAGCCTGGTCTATCAAAATTCCTTTTGATGCCTGTGAGAGCGAGTCCTGTGTGTAAGGACAAGAAAGATGAGCCATGCTGAGCATGGGACAGTTATCCTGGGAAGGGTGATTGCTAGATGTACAACAGTGAGAGATCCTTGCATGGGGCTGCTGCTACCACTGGAAAGATGGAAGGAGAGCAGAAGGGGACTTTCCTTCAGTACACCAAAAAGCCCTGCATGGAATGACTTCGAGCATGGGGTTTTAGTTCCTTTAAGGTTTATGGAAAATACTCCAGATTGCCCGAGATGATGCTCTGCAGTGAGATGTTTCCTGTACTTTGGCTACATCAGATGGTCCCTTTTCAGGGGAACATTCTCCTTTTGCAGGATGAAGTACCCAAGAGCGAGAGCAAACTGGAAGGGGACCAAGACAGAGTGTACCTAGACCTCACCCCTGTGAAGTCCTTCCTACACTGTGCTGGCAAGAAGTCATGCCAGCCTTCACCCCTTAGCTCACCACCATTAGAAAGGGCTGCCAACAAGGCTGCAGCAGAGACCTCAGCCGAGACATCCCTCATGGCTAAGGAAGCTGAGCCCTGTACTAAGGCAGTGGAGACCTCAGAGCAGGTACTGTCCTGAACTGTGGTGTGGAGCCAGGCTTCATCAGCAAGCCAGTTCTCCCCCCCCCCACATCATCCCACTTCATTTCCCCTGCCTAGAAACACCCAGAGAAGCCAGAACCTGATGAGGTGCTGCCACGGATGCCTGCCGTCAAAATCCAGACACAGCAGCAGAACATTGCCTTCCCCCAGCCAGCCCCCGAGGTGCCGGGGGGCACAGTGCCGGGGGGCAGTCCCCAGCTGGTGCCTGCACACCGGCCCAAGATGCCGCTGCCAGGTGAGCTGCTGCGGGGGCTTGGGGGGAGGCGGTGCTCTAGGCCTGAGTTTGGCCCCGTGGTTGGGCTTGCTGCTGCTATACAGTAGCTTTACAGTGCCCAAGGGGCTGATGAGTCTCCTGGTTGGTGAACTTTCCAGACCCTTCTCTGGTTTGTTTCCAAGCACCTAAAAAGGTTTTCCCTTCACCTTTTTCCTCTGGCTGAAGTTGTTTTGGTGGGTTGTGCTTCCAGCAGCAGCAGTGGAAACCAAGCTGGGCAAGAACAGGACCGAGGTGGAGGTGAAGCGGTTTACAGAGGAGAAGGAGCGGCTGGAGAAGGAGAAGGATGAAATCCGGGCTCAGCTCACCCAGCTGCGCAAGGAGAGGCGGGAGCTGAAGGAAATGCTTGGGGGCAGCTCAGGTAGAGTGGGGTGATGTGTGGATGGGACCATGGGGAAGGAGGTGGCCATGAACCTGGCCTACCTGGGACCAGAAGGGACAGGGGTGAAACCTGGCACTTTGAGCCAAACCACATAGACCAAATTTCCCTAGAGCAAGAGCTTGCTCTGTCACAGTCCCTCTTGGGGCAAAATATAAGGAAAATGTACAGGACATGACCTGGTCCCTGTTGCCCTCATGAGTTCCCAGCCAGCACCAAGTTACCCATCCCTTCACAGACAAGAGCCTGGAGCAGAGACTGAAGGAGATAGAAGAAGAATGCAAAAGGAAGGAGAGCCAGAGGGTGGACCTGGAGCTGAGCCTGGTGGAGGTGAAGGAGAACCTGAAGAAGGCAGAGTCTGGCCCTGTGACACTGGGCACTGCAGTAGACACCACGCACCTGGAAAATGCAGCCCCCCGGGTATGTGGGGGGCACCCTGGGATACACAGCAGCTTTCCAGCAGCAGCATCATCTCAGCCCACTTAATAATATAATAATTAATAACAATATATTATTATACGTAATCTTCTATGAATATATAGGTTATATTTATATTTTATCTAAGTAGTATTATAAATATTATATATAATATGCATATAATAATATAACAAGGCAACAGCAGTGATGGGGAAGTGAAAGGGGGCTTGGGCTCAGGAGAGCAGCTGTAGTTCCCTGTGGAACCTTGAGCAGCACCCTCCAGGGCCATGCAGGTCTGTACCCAGCTCCTTCTGCGCTCAGCTGAGCCAAGAGGTGTTTTTGGGGGGGAGATTCAGGCATCTAAATTCCTTCTTGAGAACTTGGTTCCTATGAACAAAGATGGTCACTGCCTGAGTCCTGCTCTGTACCTCTGCTTGAGTCCTCAACACTCAGACACACACCCCCCCACCCCCAAATCCTGGTAGTAATTCAAAATTGGCATGTCACTGAAAAAATATTCCTCAGCGCAAGTGGGATATGACTAGGAGGTGGTGGGGAAAGGCAGCAATCTCTCTTGGTGGTCTGAAATCATCCCCTTTTCTATTTTTTTATTGTAGATTCAGGCAAAAAGTGCCAGTCCAGCAAACAGCGCAGAGAACTCGCCAGTCAATTCAGCAACGGCTTTAAAGAACCGGCCTTTATCTGTCATGGTGACAGGGAAGGGAACAGTCCTACAGAAAGCTAAGGTAACGTGACCGTACAGGAGAAAAGTCCATCTGGGACAGGCACGGGAGCAGACTGGCTGTGGTGGCATGGGATTGTGGGGGTCTTGCATCTGGGAAACACCCCTGACCAAGCACCACTGGGAGCAGGCCAGCCTGGTTTTCCTCTGGTCTTTTCACCTGAGTTTACCTTGGCTGCAAATTAAATGAATAAATGTATGTATTGCTTATAATAGAGAGACATCTCTGACCCACACCGTGGCCAAAAAACCACTCGGGTACCAGTCAGTCAGGTTCACCCTGTGTGTACATTACAGCTCCTGTGGCTTGTCAGATTTGCCTTTTGACTAATTTGCCTTTATTCCTTGGCAGGAATGGGAGAAGAAGGGAGCTAGTTAGAACCATGTTTTTCAGAGATGGACTAAAGACTGGAATTGCCCATGCATGGCCAAGGGGCTTCAATCATCTGCAGGTGGAGGTTGGGTGTGCAACACAACTACACACCAAGCACCTCCTCTACGTCGCGCCAACTGCTCAGATGCAGCAATGGAGTCAACAGCTGCCGATACGAGTTATCCCAAATGATTTTGCTCTTTCCAGACAAGTCTCAATCATGTAGCTTAAACAATAACAACCACTGGCAATCCTTGCATCAAATTCCTAACCCAGTTGATGTAAACAAGAATGTGTTCCTGTACATAGGGGTGTTTTGTGTATTTCTACTCTGAAGGTTTATCAATGAGTTATTAAGGTTTCTATATTAGTGGCAATAGTAGGTTCAGAAGGGGCCTCCCCTATTCTTTATACACCGGTGGTTTTCAACCTGTCATGGCAAATTGCAGTCAACTAAAGTCTCACCTGTCTTGCTGCAAGTCATCATTCAGCTGCATTTCATCCAGCCTTCAGTCAAGGGCAGTACCCATGCCTGAGCAATGCTTGAGACATGAATGAGAAGCATGCAGCAGCCGGTCCAGGGGATTTTTAATCTGTGTCCTGATGCACCCCAGCATATGCTTATTCCTACCAGCTTGCAGCAGATTTGCCAGAATGTCAAGGAAGATCCCTGCTCACCTTCTCAATCTGTAAGCTGTGTTATAGACTGGTGCCACCAAGAGTTCTGGGCAAAGAAGATCTGCCAAGCAGATTTAGTTAATTTTCTTGAAGATCTTGATCTATTTCACCTGAGGGGTTTGTTCTGGGGGGAAAAAAAATATTTGAAGGTTTATTAATACTTTAATACTTTTGAAAGGCCCAGGCCTGCTCAGCTGTTGGATGGGAAAGCTGGATCCCAGTGCATCCTTCAGGGCTTGCCCTTTCCCAGGGAAGGGGAGGTAAAGCTGTCCCTGTGCTCCTGCCCCAGCTGTGAGCACCACTTTGCTCATGCTCTCTGGTCCTCACAGAGCCACAGCTGTACAAGCTGCTGAAGGCATCCCTGTGCAAAAGAGACTCTGCCACAGGGGCAGGACTGAGCAGCCTGACTTGCCCTCCTCCAGGTCTGGCATGGGAGGTTACATCACCATACCTCTGGTGGGCTTCTGGCCATCTTGGTGCTGTCACCCTTATTTCTAAATTATTAAACTTAATATAGTCTGTGGCCCACAAAGCTCACCTCTCTCTACCCTAACCAAGCTTTCTAATGAAGGATGTTGGATGTTTTGAACTGCTAAACTCAGAGACAGTGAAATTTGAAGGGGGGTAGGAGGGTGTCAGAAATCCATGTGCCCTCTTCTTCTTATAACCTGCTGTCATGTCTGATGGCATGGAGACATGGTCCTTCAGCTCTGGAGCCCAGACTCAGTAACTGGGTTGACCGTGCCAGGGCTGCAGCTGTTTTCCAACCCTGCAGAGCTATAGGAGCACCACTACCTGGGCTGGGTTGTTCCTTGGGTCCTGCAGCTACACTGATGAGCAGCACCCAGAGGCAGGGTAAAGACAGACAGGCAAAATGTTGTACATTCCTAACCGTTGAAAACATTTGACAGGCTTGAGATCACCACTAAAGGAATGTGCTTTCTTCACACAAAGGCCCAACAGATGGGGCTGGGGCAGAGCTGTGACACCCAGAGCTGGTGGTAGCACCGGGGTGAGTGAGGAAGGTGCTGGCAAGGGGCTCTGGGCTTGCTTCCCCCCACCACAGAGCCAGGGTGCAACAAAACACTTGGTCAGGGCATCATGGAGGCAAGAAAGATGACCTCACTCCCCTTTTTTTTTACTTTAAAAGTCTCCACTGCAGTGCAGGTGCTAATCCCAGGCATCAAGAGTAGTACATCAGCCCCAGCTGTCAGGCCTGTCCCTGTTCAAGGTTTGCACATAGGAAAAACTCATGAAAATAAACCACTGAAACTTCTGGTTCAGGACCCAGGGGACTTTTCTCTACGAAGCACAGGGAGCTTTTGTTTTGAGCCATGATGAGCTGGCAGGAGACCCTCTCTATGCCTTAAATATGTGTGTAGTACCATGCCCTCACCATACACCCCGCTGTCATCCTCCAGAAGTTGTCCAGACATTTCACAGTGGTACTGAGACAGCAATGGACGAGAGCAGCTCTGCTTTCCCTACCACAGCCCAGTCAACTTCAGTGGTCCTGCTGGGATATCTCCATCAGGGGATGGTAAACGTAGGCAAGTCACGAGCAACATGCATTCCCCAGACAAGAAATGTTAAACAATGTCTCTGTGTCCCCATTGATTTCCTAACTCAAGGCATTTCCTCTGTTATAACTGTGACCTATAAAGTGGCGCTTTAGAGGGTTTTATAATAAAATGTTGAGTATGTTACATTACCAGTGTTCTTTTCTTTGTAACATGGCTTGTCCCTGGTCTATTTTTTCAGATTTCAAGTACATCAAACCCCCAACACTTCTAGTTACTACAAAGTTTCTTAGCTATGCAGTCTACAACTGCAATGGACTCTATCTTAAATAATTTAGTCCTCTGTGGTAACTGCACCGTCAACCAACAAAAATTTCAGACAGCTAACCCACTGAAAAACAGCAATAACCATGACAGTTTGCATGCATACATGTAACAGATTCCTACCGCTATCTCTGTAGCACAGTCCTCTTGCAGAAAACCAGCAAATAAAAATGGATCCACTACCTTTCTCCGGCCACTAGATAGCAACTGTGTGCAATGCTTAGTGCCTGCTGCAGTCACTGAAAGGAAAAGTAAAGAAAAATCAGTCAAGAAAGTTGTTGAGACCAGTCTTTACAGAACAAACACCAAGTCAGACACGTCTGTGAAATACCTTTTGGTGGCTGTACCACTACTAGTGCCACTCCTGCAGAAAGCTTGCAAAGGCACCATAGCTACAAGCCCTGGGGAAGGTCCCACTCCCCTGCCTTTCTTAGCCCCCACACTGATACACACTTGCCAACAAGCCCATTAGTGTCCTGTCAGCCTTGGAGCCCAGGAATCCCCAAAAAACCCACTCGATTTGGGAGTACTGTTTTTATGAGTTGAAGGGGGCAGCAGCAGTTGCTTTTGTCCTTCCCCAGCAGTGCTGACCATCACCCATGGCTGCTTTATAGCACCCCAGTATCAGCTCCAGCTGCCTCCAGCACCCCCCTGCCTTTCAGTCCCCATGGACCATCCTGGTAGCAAGCACAGCTGCCAAGGGTCACAGCTGCACCCAGACCGAAGGGCTTGCTCACCCCAGCCCTTGTGCTTGTCTCAATGCAGTCTCATCCTACAAGATACTACACTGAAGGACTGGGCCCAAAGACACAGCTCTGTAGGGAGGCAGAGATCCTACTGCTACTGAACATCTGACATACAATGTAATGCTTACTGCTTTGTTAGTTATTCCCAGCCTAATTCTAACCTGACACAACACAGCTAGGCCACTGTGGGGCCTGCAGTGTGCCGTAAGCAGAAGCCTGTATTATTCTGGAAGGAAATTTGCTCTACAAACCATTTGTCTTAGTAAGTTTCTCACCTTCAGTTCTTACTTTGGATACGCAGAGCAACCCTAGAACAGCTGCTGCAGGGTCCTGCCCTAGCATGTCAAAAGAGCTAGTGGGCACCCTGATTTTCAACTGAGACACAGGTAAAGCGCCAGATCTCAAAGGAAAAAAAAATTAAAATCTGCCTCTTATCGGTGGAGAAGTTGGCTTAAATAATATAAGTTGTCTCAGGTATGAATCGAATTAATGTACTTCTACTGAAGAGACTAAAGTTGCAGGTGTTCTGCAAGCTGAAGCAGCCAGCTAGTCTTAAGGGGCGCACCAGCAGACCCGGTGCCAGCACTGTGGTACCTCTCCCAGGGTGGCCCTGGCTGTTGGTGCCCAGGGAGGGTGGCACAGCAGGGTCTGAAGTCCAGCTCCCTTGCTGCAGCTTTTACAGGCAGCAAACACATTGACTCATCACAAACAGGTATGATTTTGCCTGATGAGGGAAGGTAAGAATAAAAGGGGTGAAATTCATGCCACTTACTTAAATCCCACTTAATGGAGAAACAGGCTCTCCCCCCGAAGTCAGCACATGGCCCTCAACCAGCCAAGGCTCATCCAGCAATCCTACAGAGCAATTCACGCTCCATTAGTAACAGCAGCCCAGACATCTAATGACACCCTGGCTCAGACAGCATCCTCTGCACTCCCCTGATCAGACAGGATTAGCACTGCCTTTGCAGGGACCCCACCTCCTCGGTGGCTGTGCCAGCCTCAAACATCAACTCAGCTTTAAGGGAATAAGCTCCCATCAGGTAAATTCTCATTATTTCTGACTGAATCAAAGCAAGTCTATGAAAGTGAATTTAATAAGGAATCACATCAGCGACCCAAGCCACTTACTCTTTTTTAACTGAAATTACCAGGAGAAAGTGCCTAGAAATTAGCCAGAATCTTCAACTCAAATTTTTAAAAAGATAAAACAGCTCCAACAACTGTTTGGCTTGCCTGTGGGATCAGCAGGTCTCTCCGGGGCCATTCCATATATCCTGATCTTTATTATCACCTTGGCTTTTCCTGTCTCCTCCCAATGACCTGCCACCTTCTTACCTTATAAATTGCTTGTCCTGTACAAAAGGAGAAATGGTTGGTGCTGCCACTGTCAGAGCATGCCTGAGCAACCATCCAAGGCTTCAGTGATCAGTGGCATTTAGGAAGAAGATCACAGTCACAGCACATGTAGATCCCCAATACATGGGGATCCTGGGGCATTCAGGGCACTGAGACCTCAGCCAGATGCACCCAGAGGCTAAGGGCTGGGTCTAGGAACCAGCTTTCCTGAAATTCTTCCATGAGTTTCCAATCTTTCATACCATCTCTACCTGAGAAACCGACATACAGGGTTACATGTATCCCATCCAGCATTAAAATGATGTCTTCAGCATGAGATTTTGCACTCTGTGATTCCTCAATTTCACAGAGAAGTTTGTCTATCTGTGCTTAAAACCAACCAGATGCTACAAATGCAGAGTTTCCCCCAGCTCAAGACCCAGGCAAGCACCCTTTGTCCCAGTAAAGTCCATGCATTCTAAAAATGTACTTACTAGCTACATATTAAAACGAAGCAAACTTACAAAGATTATACCAAACCACATCTGCCACAAGGCAAGATGCTCAGCACCACTGTCTAAACTATGTTGTAGGCAGCTGAGATAAAAGGAAAAGGCTTTAAGCACCTGCATGAGGCTAGGAAAGCATGTCCCAGCTCCAGAGCTGTGTGCCAGACAAGGTAAATATGCTTTCGTTTGAGAAGGAAAAGTGATCCTGCAGAGGTCAAATGCCTCTGAAGGGTGAACTAACGGTGCAGTTAGACAAACTATAGCAGAGAAACCACCAGGGAGCTGCAAGCCCAGTGGGACAGCGAGGGTGAGGCATCTCTCTGACCCTCTGCACAGCGGAGGATGCACAGGGAGGCCCGGGAGAGTTTTCAGAGCAGTCTGGCTGGAATCCAGCCAGCTCCACGGGTGCTTCTGCACCATAAAACACAAACCACATCTTTGGTGTCAGTTGTGAGTCTGATCTAGCCCATTCTCCCCCTACAAGAAGAGATGACTGACAGTTTTACAGCAGAGACAATGCTTAGCTACAGCCATGCCTAAGTAAGTAACATGAAGAGATTAATTTCTCTTTCTACCCCAAATGTCAGCCCTTCAACTAAGCCTCTATTTTGCTGTGCCTCAGGACACAGACAATCTACTAAAGCGACAGTGAAAAGAGGAAATTCTCCTTTCTCCTAGTCTGGTTTCTCCCACAAGGTACGAC